AACATTTTAATTATTTATTATTTATTTATAAATTTATTCAAATTTTAGTTATTTTTGATTAAACATAATTAACATTTTATTTATTTATTATTTCTTTATATAGTTATTCAAATTATAGTTATTTTTTATTAAACATATTAAACCTTATATTTATTCTTATTCATTTATAATTGGTTATTTTAGGAAAAATGGATTTCTCAAGTATTAATAATAAGTTTTCTACGTAGTTTTGAAAAATTATTATTTATTTAATATACTCATTAATTAAGCTAGACCATATTATCACCCTAAAAAATTTAGAATATTTGAAGATATCGCTCCATTTTACAAAAAGAGCAAATTTATAAAAAAATTAGAAACATAATCTTAGTTTTTACCTCCTTATTCTACATTGTTAAATCCAATAAAGTAATTATGGATTTAAATAAAATGTTTAAATTTGAAAGCATCTTTTACACTTGTGTAGCATCACATTAAATTTTCATCAAGCCATAAAATGGATAAACAGATGGAAAATGAATAAAAAAATAATTTAATATATAATTATAAAAATAAATTGTCATCTATCCAAAGCATATCTATTATATTAAAAGCTAGCTATAAACTTGAGTATTTGAAGTCAGCAAATACTTACAAAGATGAATCATTATACTTATTCAAGAATTAAAATATTATATTTGAACTCCAAAGAATAGTTTATTTAATTCTGTTAATATAGAAATAAGAATACCATACTTTATTTAATTTATATTGGTTACCTAATTTTAAATTAGGTATAAATATTCCTAAAAATAATAAGGTTGTTTTTAAAATAATTTTAAGACTTTTAACGAATTTTTAAAAATTAATATCTATAATAATTATACATATGCATGCTATAAGTGATTTAGGTGTTTTAATTTATTCAAAACTAAAATAATAATAGATGATAGAAATAATCAATAGAAAAATTAATACTCTAAATATTGATAAAAAAGTAGAATCAAATATTTAACCTGAATTTATAACTTTTGATTTCTAATGTTTAAAAAAAAATATTTAGAATCTAGCAATAATTATTTTTCTTGAATAATTTCTAGAATAATTAAAAATTGAAAATTTAGTCAGAAGAATAGTAATTGTAGTTTTTTATTCCTTATTGATTTTAAAAACTATCTAATGAAATATATATATTCATTTATTTAACGAAAATTATATTTTTATAGAATTCATTTATAAAAATAAAATTCAGAAGAAATAATGGTTATAGAAAGTATTTTTCAAACTATCGTCAAAAACCAATTTAAATATAGTGCATCTAACTTAAATGTCTTAAAAGTAATTATAATGTTATTACAAATTTTGAATTTGGCTTAAGCATCAACAATTATATATCAAAACTTTATTAGCAGCACTTCAATAAATAGTAAATAATAATTAATAAAATTAAAGATTTAAACTCCTTTTATTACAATAATAATTGTGATTCAGTAATTAGTACTTGTGGTAGCTAAACAATCTTAAAAGTTAATTAATGCTCTATGAATGATTATGATTTCTTAATTTATAAAACAATTGAACTTAATCCACACTATTTATTGTTCCTCTCCTTTAAATTTTGGAGGTAATAGTTATAAATAATATTAGAATTGATTAATGGGATAATAAATATTTTAGTGTATACATTGATAATAAATTAATACATGGAGCAGTATATTCACATACAAGTAGTCCATCAGATTTATGTGGAAGCACTAGTTATAATGATGAATACTATTCAATCAGTGGAATAATTGATCATACTAGCACAACAGTTTTTATTGTTATGTTAGCTTAAAGAGGGATTTGGGGAATTTCTGAATTAGAAATATCAATTGAATAATGTCCTATTGGATGTTATTCATGTAATAAAGATCAATGCTTAGATGAATATTTGTATTTTTAGTAATTTGTAAGTAAGACTATTTCATCTATCAGTTCTTCTGAAGGTTGGATAAAAGATGGGATGGTTCAAACTAGTGTAAATGGTTGTCTTGGTAATTCTATTTTTTTATATAGATTGGAAATATGGAAATGTCAATTCAGGAAAAAATTTGATGAAAGTCCTAAAGCTTGATTAGCATACTGCTATAAGTTTTTAATTAAAAGTTTTAATCTTTAATTTAAATCCAATAAATGTTTTTATCAAAATTGATGATGTAATAGTATTTTAGACTGAATATTCAAATGGATGGATAAATATTAATGATGACGAAGAATTATGTGTATTTATGCAAATGAAGAATATTAAAATTCATTAATACACACACATTAAGTAATAAATTTAAATATCTGTTTTATTGAATGAAAATTCTAAATTTGGAATAAGAGATTTTCAATTATTTTTAGGTACTAGTTATTTTCAAAATATGTGTACTGATTATAATTTTTTAGCCTTTGATGGTTGTTTTTCAAATATTTATGATTGTGTTGAAGGTTGTAGTAATTGTATTAAAGGTGAATGTTGGGATTGTTAAGAGGGTTGGGAATATAATAGATATTTAAGAATTTGTATTCCAATTTGTGGAGATTCAATAATAATTAATTATGAATAATGTGATGATGGAAACTAAATGCCTAATGATGGATGTCATTTATGTATATATTCTTGTATATAACATTGTTTGTTATGTTAATTTGGAATTTGTCATTAATGCAATCCTACATATAGATTATCAGCTGATGAGACAATTTGCATAAGAATTGATGACTAAGATGAATAAAACTTTATTTAAACTTAACAATTTTAAAGTGATTTACGATTATGCTCAATAGAGTGCTAAATTTGTTAAGAATGTTCGGATATAAAAGAGAATAGTTGCTATCATATTTGTCAATAGAAAATAGAAGAATCATTAGAAACAGTGGAAGAAAATAAAGAAGAGGAAGAATAAGAATAAGAAGAAGAGGAAATGGATGAGAATCTTAATATTGAGTGCATGTCTTATTGTTTACAATGTGCAGATTAGTATTCTTGTTTATAATGTGAAGTTAATTTTTAATTAGAAAATAAATAATGCTTCCCAATTTGTGGTGATGGTATCATTATTTAAGGATATGAGGATTGTGAAGATGGAAATAATGATCCATACGATGGATGTTATAAATGTTAATTTCAATGTTCATTTGGATGTATAAGTTGTGAATAAGGTAATATTTGTAGAAAATGTGATAATTTCACTATTTTAAATAATGATACTGGAAAATGTGAAAAAGAAGATATTTACAATGCTAATTAATTTACTGAGTAGAATAATACAAACTCAAGTAGTATATTAGGAATATAAAATTCAATTTTAGATGATAATTTATGTGGAAATGGTATACTTAATAACAATTATGAATTATGTGATGATGGGAATAATGTTGGAGATGATGGATGCTCAAGTATGTGTCTAATTGAAGATAACTGGAACTGTAAAAATTAATTCTATCAAAGCATATGCTTTCCCAAAACATAACTTTTATTAACATATTTAAATCATTCAAATTCTTATTAATATATCGAATTATCTTTTAGTAATTAAGTAAAAACTATTTAATCTAATGTTAACTTTATTGATTGCATCGATATCAAATTATCAACCAAAAAATACAGTTTTTCTATTAAAGAAGTAGTTGGGATTAGCTAATAGATTTTTTCTATTCCTATTTATTAAATTTAAATTAATTTTTATGATTCAATAGTTAATCCAATATTATCAATATCTATCAATTCAAAATTAAAGGATATTAATAATTTTGAAGTGAGCAACAATAAAAAAAATATCACACTTTAATCTGTTATAATTTTGAGTAGTATTTAGAAGAATGTTGCAGTTAAAATTTATAATTTTGGTTTTTGGATGATGATTGGTTTGGGTTCAGGCAGTGCATTTCTCATTTTGTTTGGTGAAATTTTGCAATTCTCTGAGATATTGGATATTTTATAATTTTAATCTTATCAAAGATTTATAAATGTAAAATACCCAGAAAACATGGAAATTTATTTTTAGACTTCAGAACTTGTAACAGTTACCCCTGTTTTGATGAATTTAAAATTCATTGATTTTTTTGATAAAATTATAGGATATTAATTTATTGATAGTGTGGGTAAACTTCATGAATATAATATTAATTCAGATCTCTTGTTTAACATATATGGACAAATTACATAAATCTTTTTGTTAATTGGATTTGAACTATTTCTTAGATTTTATAAAAAAGTTTTTATTTCATAAGTTTTTGATGTGAAATAAATTGGCTAAAAAATAAAGATAATAAAATAAATAAGAATTTTAAATTGGTTTAAATTAAAATTCTACATGATAGGTATGAAAATTTTTAAATTGAAATCTATTTTAACTTACTAAGTTTTTACATAAATTTTTTATGCTAATAGTTTGGACTTAAGTTTTAAAACTATTAACCATTTATTATCAAATAATGATTAGAATATTAGATCAACAATTAGTATATTCATTAGTATAATCTATTTATTCATGGCAATATTGTTTATTATTAAAAGTTTAAGAAGAATTCATTCTAAACATTAACTACATTACCTTAGAAATGAACAACATGAAGGGCTTTTAATTTTAAAAAAGTTATTATTTTCATTAATTTTAATAGGAATGTAAACTCAACCAGCTATTTAATGCCTTCTTTTAACATTTATAAATTTCTGCTATCTATCATTCTTAATTAACATGAAAAAATATTCAAAAAATAAAAATGACTTAATAAATAATATTTGGGTAGAAGTTCCAGTAATGATAGTTACATTTTTAAATATTCCCTACATTTCTGAATTCAGAAAATATTTAACCCCTAACTAATATATAAACTTAGGATTTACTTAAATGGGCATATTAATATTTGGCTTATTAGGTCCTTTAGTTAGATGCTCAATTTAATTTTTTATAAAATTTAAAGCTATCAAAACTATTTTCCCTCAAAACTAGATCAAAAAACAGCCGTCTAGGTAAAATTTAAATATCTTCTAAATGGAATAATTATAATGAATATTAATAAATTATTGATTTTCTCTTTTTATACCAATATATTTTATTATTTATTAAGGAATAACAAAAAGGGGCTTAAGAATGGAAAACTCAAATATTACTTTATTGAGATTAGCAGAAAGATAATTAAAATTATTCCAATGATGTGATTACTCTTAAAACAAATATTTTAAAATCTTGTATTGAAAAAGTTGGATTTTATATTGACATAATTAAATAAAGGAATGCTTTATATATGTGTAAATTAGTATTTCTTCTCAAGAATTTTCACACAGCATTCTCCAATAAAACTTCATTTTAAGTGCGTCTTGTTTAGAATTTAAGATCCATTTAATTCAATATAATTTAATTNTTTGGTGAAATTTTGCAATTCTCTGAGATATTGGATATTTTATAATTTTAATCTTATCAAAGATTTATAAATGTAAAATACCCAGAAAACATGGAAATTTATTTTTAGACTTCAGAACTTGTAACAGTTACCCCTGTTTTGATGAATTTAAAATTCATTGATTTTTTTGATAAAATTATAGGATATTAATTTATTGATAGTGTGGGTAAACTTCATGAATATAATATTAATTCAGATCTCTTGTTTAACATATATGGACAAATTACATAAATCTTTTTGTTAATTGGATTTGAACTATTTCTTAGATTTTATAAAAAAGTTTTTATTTCATAAGTTTTTGATGTGAAATAAATTGGCTAAAAAATAAAGATAATAAAATAAATAAGAATTTTAAATTGGTTTAAATTAAAATTCTACATGATAGGTATGAAAATTTTTAAATTGAAATCTATTTTAACTTACTAAGTTTTTACATAAATTTTTTATGCTAATAGTTTGGACTTAAGTTTTAAAACTATTAACCATTTATTATCAAATAATGATTAGAATATTAGATCAACAATTAGTATATTCATTAGTATAATCTATTTATTCATGGCAATATTGTTTATTATTAAAAGTTTAAGAAGAATTCATTCTAAACATTAACTACATTACCTTAGAAATGAACAACATGAAGGGCTTTTAATTTTAAAAAAGTTATTATTTTCATTAATTTTAATAGGAATGTAAACTCAACCAGCTATTTAATGCCTTCTTTTAACATTTATAAATTTCTGCTATCTATCATTCTTAATTAACATGAAAAAATATTCAAAAAATAAAAATGACTTAATAAATAATATTTGGGTAGAAGTTCCAGTAATGATAGTTACATTTTTAAATATTCCCTACATTTCTGAATTCAGAAAATATTTAACCCCTAACTAATATATAAACTTAGGATTTACTTAAATGGGCATATTAATATTTGGCTTATTAGGTCCTTTAGTTAGATGCTCAATTTAATTTTTTATAAAATTTAAAGCTATCAAAACTATTTTCCCTCAAAACTAGATCAAAAAACAGCCGTCTAGGTAAAATTTAAATATCTTCTAAATGGAATAATTATAATGAATATTAATAAATTATTGATTTTCTCTTTTTATACCAATATATTTTATTATTTATTAAGGAATAACAAAAAGGGGCTTAAGAATGGAAAACTCAAATATTACTTTATTGAGATTAGCAGAAAGATAATTAAAATTATTCCAATGATGTGATTACTCTTAAAACAAATATTTTAAAATCTTGTATTGAAAAAGTTGGATTTTATATTGACATAATTAAATAAAGGAATGCTTTATATATGTGTAAATTAGTATTTCTTCTCAAGAATTTTCACACAGCATTCTCCAATAAAACTTCATTTTAAGTGCGTCTTGTTTAGAATTTAAGATCCATTTAACATTAAATTAATAGAAAATAATTTCAATTGTATTTCAATATAATTTAATTGCACTCATTCATGAATATTTTTATTGATTTTCTCAGATATAGTAGTAAGTTAATTTTTTATTTTAAGCATTTTTTAAACAGATAATTATCTTTCAATTAACAAGAAACCTTTATAATACAGGAAGTTTCATTTTTTAATTCAATCCTTTAAAGAAAATATTGATGGTAAATTATAATAAATTATTGCAAAAGCATTTTATTTAATCTGATTATCAATAAAGAAAGTATTGATTAAAATTAAAGTAATCAATAATGATGAATTTAGTTTCGGATAAATACATAACGGTAAAGAATAATTGGAATATTTAAATATTTCTTCTTAAAGTGCCTCTTGTGCTATGTAAACTTTTTAAATTTAAACTGAAAAATAATAATTATTTTATTCACTTTTATTTAGAAATCATTTACTTTCTTTCTAGATTATACACTCTTAGAATTTAGCTAAGTAGTTTTGAAATATTATTTGGCAGTTATGTTAAGTTAGTACTTATAGCATATTCATATTTCTATTTAAAAATAAAAAGATCTAATATTTTATTTGATTAAACATAATTGAGAATTGTGGTTTTAATTGAACAAAAATACTGAGTATTTAGTTTAATCTAGTTTATTAAGAAAAATGAATTGACATAGATTAGACCCTTTTTAAATTTATTAAAAATTCAATTTTTATTTTACATAATTTGATTAATTTTTTTGGTATGCACAATTTATAACAAAAATTATGCACTTCAGAATTTAGGATCTTAAATGTTCTAATAACTACTTTATTTAATTTGTGGAAATAATATTAGTATTTAACAAATAATTACTATGACTAATAGGATAAGGAGTAATTTTTGGTTTTTTTTAATAATATTTATTCTCATCGATTAATTGAAATGGAAGAAAAAAATGTATTAAAAGAATAATAGATTACCTACAAATATTGAGATATTAAGACAATGTTAGCTTATTTAAGGTGCATTTTTACTATATGATATGTCAATTTTACACTCATGACTGTATTTAATAAATTTATTATTATTTAACTAAAAATATTAAGTTTGATGATATAATTAATAAGCTTTAAGCCAATTCTGTGTTTTTAAAAGGATTATTCCTAAATTTATTCAATAGAATAGTAAAATCTAAAATTTCGTTTGTTAATAACTATGATTTTGCATTTTTTATAGCCCTAATTATAATATTAACTAATTATTATTTTTATTGGTATAAGTTCAGAAATGTTAACAATAAAATTTAAGAATATTAATTAAAAAATAGGGTATTGTTAATTTCAATTTCTTTTATATAAAATCTGTTATATTTAGAACACATATATGCAATTTTTTTTTTTTAATATGATTAATCCAATGAATTTACTTTTTAGAACCTTTTAAATTAAATATATTTAGTTTTTTAAGCTGTTTGGATTATAAATTCTACATTTCTATGGATTGATAGAACATAAACTAACTAAAGTGTCTTTATCAAAATTTTTTTTTTTAAAATAAAAATATAGAGAAAAAATAAAATGATATTAACAATAGGTTGATAGAACTAACCCATGAATATTATTTTCATTAACTCAATTAAAAATAAATTTCTAATCTTATAAAAATTTTATTCCTGCATAAGTAAATTACTGAATAATTTAAATTAAAAATTTTTATCATATTTAATATGAGGGTCAGATTTTAATAAGATCTGATTGAACATAGCAATGCTCTGACCGAGGTCTAAACTTCTCGTATATAATTCTAAATTGCCAAGTTGTAATTTATGCTGAAACTATGGAAATGACAAGTTTTTTTTCAGAGACCTAATTGATATTTTAACTAAAACCCTTTAATAATAACTGCAGGTATATTACTTAAATTAAAACTATTACTTTTTTTCTAATAAGCCATTAAAATCCCTTTCTTTAAAAGTAATAGAAAAAAAGCTATGGCTGTATTAGGGGGGGGGTTAGTATTGAAAGACTTCATCCATTTTATATTAAATTTTTGCTTTCCCCAAGCATGGCTGAATATAGGTGATTCTTAAAGATTAGAATCTTCTTTTGGCAGGTTTATCATACCATTACCTCTTTCTTTCTTAATTTACAGCTGAATTTCATCTCAACTAAAGTTTTAGAAAATAAATAACATTATTTTAATATAAAGAAATAATTACTGAACTATTTTTATATACCTATTTCGTTTTCAAATAATTTTCAATAGAATGTACAATTAAAAATCTAAAATTACTTAAGATAAGATATAAGAAATTGTTATACATTTAATTTCATGAAAAAATCAAAAACTTAACATCTATTTTCAGTATTGAAAATATTAAGATGAATTAATAATTTTGAAAAGTTCATAAATATGAATATTCAAATCCCATTCATAATGCTATGAAGGTATCAAAAAGATGAAAGAAATATAGGATTTTAATTGGATAAAATACTAGATTAATTAATATCGTTTTATTTTTGATGATAATTGTATGAAAGTTAACAGGTGAAGATATGAATGGATTAATTACATCAGATATTTGAATTTTTATGAAAAAAAATTAATTAGTAGTATAAAAAAAGAGGTGAATTAAAATACTAGTAGATTATTTAAAGAAATCAGATTTCAAATAATATTTAAATAAATAGCTTAATAGTAAGTAGCGTAATTAAGTATAAAAATACTAAATTAAGAAACTAAGAAACTAAAATCCTTGTAAAAAACATTAACTTTGTAATAAAGACCTAATTAGATATTTTGGTGAGGAATCTGGGAAAGCATGATTTTAAATCAAATAGAAAGTTGATTTCATTTAGAAGACTATTAAAAGCAATTTCGAATAGCCGCAAAAAAAAAAAATCGTACGAGGAAATAGCTAGTGAGCAAGTATTGATTTCAAAGACTCAACACTTAAATATTTCCATAAATTAAAATTGATTGGATGTTGAATTAGTTAAGATAAGGGCGATGGAGTATATATATGAACATAAAAATTTCTTATTAATTATATTAACATAGGTGACACAAAAATAAAAAAATAAATATTTAATTTATGTATAGATGACAAATATCTATTTTCCATAATGTATACAAATGTATTAATCTAATTTTATTGTTTGTTTTTCTTTATTTATTTTTAATTATATATTTATATCAATTATTCTTTTAAGTAGAATATAATTGAAAAGACATTTACTTAAATTAAAGGGTAAATAGGATTTAAGCTTAGAAAAATAGTCCTTAATTGATAAAACTTTGAAATTGTAAAAGTTTTTATATCCTACAATTTTAATGATATTTCTATGTTTTAATTATTTCAGTCTTTTAATTCTTATTTTTTTGTTATTCAATTTCATAATTACTTGGTAATTATAAGTAAAGATTTGATAATTTTTCTTTATGCCAAGTCATTCATAACTCTTGATCATTAATTTATGTATTTTTTTTACCCTTAGGTTCCAAGCCAATATAAATTCATAGATTCTTCTCATTTATGTAGCAACGTGTGAATAAGATTTCAGCATTAGAGCAATAGTTAAATATATATTTGTTAGATACCTTACTAGTTAATAAAATTTTATGAATACTTCCTACATCTCATAAAAAACTCAAATTTAATTTCTTTTCTATAAAAAAAAGAATATAAATTTTAATTTAAAGCATAAGCTTGATCAATCCTTTATTATTCATTTTAAGATTAACTTAAGAAATTCAAGTTAATGTCATAGTCCCTTTTTCTACATTGACCTTGTATGTCTTAGTTATCACTTTTACTGTCGCTCTCAATTCTAATATCAAACTTAGTATGTTTATAGATCATACCTACTCGAACATAAAGATCTGATCTCAGTTAGAATCACTTACTTTAATTATTGAAGCCTTACACAAAGTTTACAGTCACTTTACATTGCCTTTTATTCGTACTTAGTTTCACCGAAATTTGGCCAAGATTTGCAACCTAGGGTCTAAGTAAAACGAATATATTGAGGAGATATAGTTTCTATCACCTCCATCATTGAACAGGCTATAAGGATAATAATTAAATTCCATAAAGGAAATTTGATAATTTTATTTTTTTCTGTTCATTAAAAAAGTAATTATCCTATTAATCTCATTATATTTATTATAAAAATCTAAAATTGAAAAATAATTATTAAAATAATGAAATTTCATTTGTAAATAATGTTTACAGATTGGTAAGCCATGGGGATTTGGCCAATCTCTTCTTCCAGAAAAAAATTGGATGATTAATGTGTTATACTTACAATAACCAAATCATTCTTTATTAAAGAAATAAATACCAAAATATATCATTATTATTATAAAATGATGTCAAGTGACAATTATATATTTACTAATGATAATATCATCATTTACACATGCTTTTAAAGATCAGAAAAAGTATGATGTTTTAAGAGATTTAAGATCTAGGTTAATCCTTAGAAGATATAAATTGAATAAGAAAAGAATAATAAAAGCATAATAAAATNATATTCATTTATTTAACGAAAATTATATTTTTAAAAATATAGAGAAAAAATAAAATGATAAATATTTAATTTATGTAATGTATACAAATGTATTAATCTAATTTTATTGTTTGTTTTTCTTTATTTATTTTTAATTATATATTTATATCAATTATTCTTTTAAGTAGAATATAATTGAAAAGACATTTACTTAAATTAAAGGGTAAATAGGATTTAAGCTTAGAAAAATAGTCCTTAATTGATAAAACTTTGAAATTGTAAAAGTTTTTATATCCTACAATTTTAATGATATTTCTATGTTTTAATTATTTCAGTCTTTTAATTCTTATTTTTTTGTTATTCAATTTCATAATTACTTGGTAATTATAAGTAAAGATTTGATAATTTTTCTTTATGCCAAGTCATTCATAACTCTTGATCATTAATTTATGTATTTTTTTTACCCTTAGGTTCCAAGCCAATATAAATTCATAGATTCTTCTCATTTATGTAGCAACGTGTGAATAAGATTTCAGCATTAGAGCAATAGTTAAATATATATTTGTTAGATACCTTACTAGTTAATAAAATTTTATGAATACTTCCTACATCTCATAAAAAACTCAAATTTAATTTCTTTTCTATAAAAAAAAGAATATAAATTTTAATTTAAAGCATAAGCTTGATCAATCCTTTATTATTCATTTTAAGATTAACTTAAGAAATTCAAGTTAATGTCATAGTCCCTTTTTCTACATTGACCTTGTATGTCTTAGTTATCACTTTTACTGTCGCTCTCAATTCTAATATCAAACTTAGTATGTTTATAGATCATACCTACTCGAACATAAAGATCTGATCTCAGTTAGAATCACTTACTTTAATTATTGAAGCCTTACACAAAGTTTACAGTCACTTTACATTGCCTTTTATTCGTACTTAGTTTCACCGAAATTTGGCCAAGATTTGCAACCTAGGGTCTAAGTAAAACGAATATATTGAGGAGATATAGTTTCTATCACCTCCATCATTGAACAGGCTATAAGGATAATAATTAAATTCCATAAAGGAAATTTGATAATTTTATTTTTTTCTGTTCATTAAAAAAGTAATTATCCTATTAATCTCATTATATTTATTATAAAAATCTAAAATTGAAAAATAATTATTAAAATAATGAAATTTCATTTGTAAATAATGTTTACAGATTGGTAAGCCATGGGGATTTGGCCAATCTCTTCTTCCAGAAAAAAATTGGATGATTAATGTGTTATACTTACAATAACCAAATCATTCTTTATTAAAGAAATAAATACCAAAATATATCATTATTATTATAAAATGATGTCAAGTGACAATTATATATTTACTAATGATAATATCATCATTTACACATGCTTTTAAAGATCAGAAAAAGTATGATGTTTTAAGAGATTTAAGATCTAGGTTAATCCTTAGAAGATATAAATTGAATAAGAAAAGAATAATAAAAGCATAATAAAATTAAACAAGTCTAAATATTAATTTACAAGTTAAATCGTTGATGAATATCTAATTCAAAGAAATCATTTTAAATTATCAATGTATTTTCAAATACGTAGTCATTGAGAAAGTTATATTAAGGATTTTTGTATAAATTGAATAGTTTGTAGAAAAAAGACGTGTTAAAAATTTGAAAAAAAAATCATTTGATGACCATAAGTCAATCAATGGATAAAACTCTTTTATTTCTTGATAAGTTTATCGGATTTTCATCTTTGGACATCAATTTTTATAACTCTTAAACCACGCTTTAATAAAACATAAGCAATGAAGGCAGAATTAAAGTATGAAAAGGGGTCACTTTAAAAGTTTCCATACTTACTTTTAGAAACATCTAAATAAGCTCCTCTTCTTTTATTGGGATTAAATGTTGCTAAAGGTTTTATTGGCTTTAATGCATCTTCACTATTGGCTATTTAATAAGATTTTACCGGAAATTTTAATAGTTAATGAGGTATTTCGAAAAGGTTTTTTTATCTTGATAAAGTTATTCTTTTTTTAAGATGACTTTCATTTTTTTAAATTAATTAATGAGACCAATAAGCAACCTTTTTAAAATGATTAGCCTGCTAGTTTAATAAATAAGCTTGATTTTTTATTAAATATCATTCAATGCTCTTGATTTGATTATTGATAATGTTTTTGGATATTTCTATTAAACTATGGTCTGAAAATTATTAAAACTACATTTAAAATTTGTTTTATAAGGTTTCTTGTTATACAAAGATCAATTCTAGATATCAGAATTCGTCCAAACTATTATATATAAAATGTATTAATTTCAGGATAAATAGAGTATGTAAATAAAGGAATATTTAATTCTGGACAATTGAAATCGCCGCATTTAATTACTTTTCTGAGTTGATTTTAAATTGAAAATCATAATTTTGCTCCATAAAAATAATGTTTGTTTTCTTAATTAAAGATAACACTTGTATTAACATTAAAGCTACAAACTAGAAGATCAATAATTTTGGACTTACAATGTATAGCTAAAAATTCATATTTCTGTGAGTTAGGAGACTTAATCTTTTAGGTAATAGTTATAAAATTAATCGAAAAGTGAACTTCTAAGGCTACTTTTCCTTAATGACTACTCATGCCTAATTTTTATAAAAAACTATATCTAGGCGAATTTAATTAGTTTTCCCTCTTATCTCCATTAAACATATTATAAGAGGGGGTTTTTTTTATTTCTTATAAATAAGTTGGTTTAATAGAGCTTATATTCCATAAACTTATCCTTATTAATTCATACCCAGTTGTTTTTGGGTATCTACTAAAATTACTAGTATAAGAGTGTGTTACTAATTCACTTTTTGGTATATCATGTAAATTATTCACTAATAATTATTAATTAATATTATTTTTTAGAATTTATCCTTGTGAAATATCATTTTAATCTTTTCTCGTTCTTAAATTCTTACTTACAAGTGCTTCATATTTAGGGAAAATCTGATGTTGGATTTCTCTCTTTTATAGTAAAATGCTTTCATTTTAATTGACTTACTTCTATTTCTTTTATAATTTATTCTATTTTTTCTTAATTGATTACTAGAATCTCTCTGATATCTTTGAATTCAGGTCTATTAATTATAAATCACAGACTTATTATAAATAGTGTTAAATAATTTATTATATATCCACTCTTATTATCTTAGATGATTTTACTCCTCATTAAAACCTTTACTATTTATGAATACTTTATTAAATAATGTTTCCCTTATTATTAAAGGTAAATTTTATTCTTAATTAATTTTCCATAGAGAATGTCTTGCTTACATTTTTTATAATCAACTAAACTTATTTAAATAAGCAATGGATAATAGATAAATATATTTTTCTATTTTTCTCTTTTTTTCCATGTAACAGGATTTATTATTCTGTTTATCTTCACAAATTAAAAGAGTCAATATTTCCAAAAATATTGATGTATAAAAGTCATGATGGCGGCATTTTTCTTTGTAAGTATGAACATCACAGGATGTTTAAATATAGCATCTTGTCTATCATGCTTGTTGCATTCTCTGGGTTCTCGACTTTCTGTACCATAGATCTCGACTTATTTTAAGTAAAAAATTAGTTCTAATCTTGTTATCAAATTTTGTTTCTCAAGTTTTCTCTTTTAAGGTGAAAACTGTGAACAGTTTTATTCAAATTAATGCAATATTTCTTTTTTCTTTTCTCCAAGATCATTTAGTACCTCTTATTTTTTATTTCCAGGTTTTTATTGCAATAAATGATAATATTAAGAATTAATACATTTTTTAATAATAATTTATTACTTGATTAAAGTGAATACATGAAAAGTATAGAATACAAGCATAAATCAATTATAAAAATTTTAAGACGAAACAATATTATGATATAATTATTTTTGATTTTTAATATTCATTTATTCTATCTCTTTTAGCAAAATTCTAATTTTATAAATAAAGCATACATTTTTAGGTTATTGTATATTGATTATTTGGCTCAATCTTTAATGATTTCTCATAATAAATTAGAGCTTCTTTATATTGTTATGTATCTCTTAAACAATCTCCTAAAACAAATACTATGTTATGATACCTTTGCGATTAAGGGAAAACGTATGTTGCGAATTGATGGACAGTGCTTAATCAAGTAATTCT